TGAGACAGAGTCTATTGCTCAGTCTGAAGTGCAGTGTCGTGATCTTGACTCACTGCAGCCTTTGCCTCCTAGGCTTAAGAGCCATCTCCCTTCTCAACCTCCTGTGTAGCTGGGATTATAGGTGTATGTCACCATGCCCATCTAATTTTTGCTTGTTTGTTTTTTTGTAGAGATGGGGGTCTTGCTGTGTTGCCCAGGCTGGTCTTGAACTCCTGAGCTCAAGCATCTACCCACCTCAGCCTCCCACACGTGCTGAAATTACACATGTGAGGTATCATGCCCGGCCAGATCTCACACGTGCTGAGATTACACGTGTGAGGTATCATGCCTGGCCAGATCTTTGCTTTTTTGATTGACAAATTACAATAAGAAAATACTGCTTTTTTAAAACTAAAATTTCAAAATAGTGAACTATGCTTTTAAAAAAAAAAAAAATCTTATTTTATACCTGATATGTTTGCCACTATTAGATGCATATCTAAAATTGCCAAGGTTTTAAATACCTGAGCCATGGTTTCTTAACATCTGATGAAAGTCTTGAATTATATGGAAATATGTCTTCCTGTTACATGTGTTCCATTTCAAGTCTTTATTTTTACCTTATGCTTTGACGGTTGCTGTGGCCTTAGCCTGTCCTTCCATTAGTCTCACCTGCCCTTGCTGGATTATGCTTGAGGAGGTGCTTCTGCTACTCCTGAAGCCCTCAGCAACACTCATACCCACGCAGAAACATCTAGACCCTCTGCTTTGCCTTCAAGTCATCCTCTGTGTGTTCTCCTGCCTCCTTGAACTCCTTTCCCCATAGAAACCGTGCTGCTCAGCAGCTTGTTTTCCAACCACATGCCATACTTTTGTGCCCCCTTATACCTTGAAAGCCTCACTTTTGTGTGTTTGAAGACATTCCTAATCTTAATTCTTTAGTTCGTCGAATCTGATATGATCAATTCAAAATTCTACATTCTCATTTCTAAATTGAGGGTAATATTTAACCTGCATGGTTGCTATGAAAATTAGAAATACTGGTGGCCAAAGTAGTTATTTTTCTGTTCTTTGAGCCCTTACTCACATGTATATGTCCCTCTTGAAGAACTACAACGGGCATCTTGTTCAGGTTACTTAGAAACTTCTTGCCCCATACTAGATTAAATGTTTTGCAGCAGTATTCTCGTACTCATCTTTGTATTATCCCTCACATTGAACAAATGAAATACTCAAACATTGAACAAATGGATAAATGGAAAAAAAGGTGATTGAGCTTTTTGTCTAAGCATAGCTATTTATAAACAAATTATGGTTCAAGGATATTAATAAGCAGGTATTATAGTATTTATACTATGTCAGAGAATAATACCATATATCTGGTTATTGTCCTAGCTAACCTGTCACTTAGCTTCCCCAGACTTATAAGGCAAAGATAAAAGAGACAGCTTGAGTGCTTGTGGATATTCTGACTTCTCTGCCTCAGTAGAGCAGGCTGTGGCTCCCCTTGTTTTTGTGGCCTCTGTCACACCCAGACCCAACCATTTCACCTGGCTACATTCAAAAGTTTCAGGTCCCCCAGTATTTGGGAGAACGGAGGGAAACCCAGGCAAGAATGATTCCAGGCCTTTTCCTAGTCACTGATACAGATAACCTAAACTCACATAAGCCAAGTTCAGTCACTGCACATGTGGGAAGGTGAGGATCAATCAATATTTAAAATTCACTGCAATTCATTTGTAAATGAAGAGTTTTTCTGAATATACTTGGGAGTTTGACTGTATGTTGCTTTCTGTCTTGTAAAGCAGTATGTAGTTTTTGGCTAATTTCTTCAGCCCTGCTTCCATACTGTTAGGAGCTATTTCTTTTTTTGTTTGTTTGTTTGTTTTTGACACAGGAACTCATTCTGTTGCCCAGATGGGAGGGCAGTGATGTGATCATGGCTCACTGCAACCTTGACCTCCCTGGCTTAGGTGAGCCTCCCACTTCAGCCTTTTTTTTTTTTTTTTTTTTTTTTTTCCCTTCCTTTTTTTTTTTTTTTTTTTTTTTTTTTTTTTGAGACAGCGTCTAGCTCTGTCACACGACTGGAGTGCAGTGGCACAGTGTCAGCTCACTGCAACCTCTACCCCCTGGGTTCAAGTGATTCTCCTGCCTCAGCCTCGGGAGTAACTGGCAGTACAGGCTGGCACCACTACGCCCAAATAACTTTTATATTTTTTAGTAGAGACAGGGTTTCACCATGTTGGCCAGGCTGGTCACAAACTCCTGGCCTCAAGTCATCTGCCAGCTTTGGCCTCCCAAAGTGTTGGGATTATAGGCATGAGCCACCGTGCTTGATGGCGTAAGCCACCTCAGCCTCTTGAATAGCTGGGACTACAGGTGTGCACCAGCACACCCGGGTTATTTTTAAATTTTTCATAGGGACAGAGTCTTGCCATGTTGCCCATGCTGTTCTCAAACTCCTGGGCTCAAGCTGTCTTCCCACTTAACCTCCCAAAGTGATCTAATTATAGGCATGAGCCTCCACAGCTAGGCAGGGATATTTTTTGTAATTGTTGCTTGTTTTGTGTTTAGTTCTATCAAATACAATACAAAGATTATATAATTAGTAACTGAGAGGCATCTTAGGCATAAAGAAATAGATGTCTAGGTTAAAAATCCTCTAAACCTTGTTTTATGTCCCAGCTCTGCTGCTGATTTTTGCCCTCAGATAAGTTATTTTCAAACCTACCTCATAAAGTTGTTGAGGATTGTAGTATTAAGAGAACATTTTGCATAACATAGACAGTATATGATTGCTGTTAATCTTTGAGTTAAGAAACTAATCATTCTCTTGATAAAATTTAACTTGACATTTTGTCTAGGTGTTTACTGCTAAGAGACTTATGTCCCTGGCTTCTCCAGTTGCCAGAGATGTCAAAACACATTTGCCATTTGAAAAAGGAGTATGGTTGTGCTTGAAGGATACCAGGTCTTCAAAGCAGAATGTTCCCTTCCTTTGTCAGCACTTATGATTTGCCGCCTTGGTTTAAACAAGCCACCATTTATTGGACCCCTACTGTGAGTAGGGCTTGGTGAGCAGGTTCAGAGCTGATCAGGAGAAGGTTTCTGTCCTCAAATAAGGTGAATAGTGTTTGTCTGTACAGGAACTGCCACTTTCACCATACAGAAAAAAGCTGGTAGAGCCAAAGCAGTAGTAAGAAAAGTTATGCAGTCTCCAGTTATCTTCCAAAGAGGTAAGGGATAAAGAATATAAAGTTCTCAGGCTTAATTTTTTTTTTTTTTTGAGACAGAGTCTTACTCTGTCACCCAGGCTGGGGTGCAGTGGCACCATCTCGGCTCACTGTAACCTCTGCCTCCTGGGCTCAAGAGTTTCTCCTGACTCTGCCTCCCCAGCAGCTAGGATTACAGGTGTCCACCACTGTGCCTGGCTAATTTTTGTATTTTTAGTAGAGATGGGGTTTCACTAGGTTGGCCAGGCTGGTCTTGAACTCCTGACCTCAGGTGATCCGCTGCCTTGGCCTCCCAAAGTCCTGAGATTATAGATGTGAGCCACCATGACTGACCCTTAATACTAAATTTTAAAAAATGATAAATCACTGAGAATTTAAAACATAGATTTCAGAATGAAGGGTGTTGCTGTGTGCTGCAGTGGTTCAGAGAAAAGGCTTTGGATAGCTTTATGGAATCAAGTTAACCACTTACTCTGTAACCTTAGGCAAATTTCTAACCCATTTATGTATCCTTAATTTTCTCACCTGCAAAATATAGATTATAATAGTGAGGATATATGTAACAACCTGACAGGTAAACAGGGTAACCATTATTGACATCTTACTAAGAGAACAGACTTAGAGAAGTTAAATGACCTATTCAGATCTCCTTAAAACAATAACACTAGTAGCTAACAAGAGTAGAGCACTTACTCTATGCTAGGCATTGTGTTCATATCTCATGTGCATTATCTCATTTGATCCTCACATTAAATCCAACGAAATCTGTGCAGTTATCCCCGTTGAAAGAAACAAACTAAATTTGGTAGGGATAATGATTTTTTTAAAAACCCACTAATTTGGCTGGGTGTGATGGCTCACACCTGTAATCCCAGCACTTTGGGAGGCAGAGGCAGGTGGATCATGAGGTCAAGAGGTTAAGACCATCCTGGCCAACAAGGTGAAAGCCCATCTCTACTAAAAATACAACATTTAGCTGGGCATGGTGGTGTATACCTGTAGTCCCAGCTACTCTGGAGGCTGAGGCAGGAGAGAATCGCTTGAACCTGGGAGGCAGAGGTTGCAGTGAGCTGAGATCAAGCCTGGTGACAGAGTAAGACTATGTCTCAAAAAAAAAGAAAAAAAATCCACTAACTTATATGTATTGTGAAAAATGATGAGAAATATGAAGTAATTAACCTAGGCTTGATATTATGCCTCTTTTTCTACTGCTAACTCATTACTTTGCAGATCCTTCATTCAGTTTACCCCATCTCTTTTCACCTGTGTCTAATCTGTTTTTTAAACTTTTCTATCAACTTTTTAATATTAATGGCTATATTTTCTAGAAGATCTGTTTGGTGCTTTTTCTACTCTTTCTCCCATGTATTTTTCCTTAAAACCCAAGCTTCTAGTCATTTGGATCAGTTTGAATCCTCAAAGCATCATTTCCTGTGCCTGTGTATTAGTCTGTTTTCACACTGCTAATAAAGACATACCTGAGACTGGGTAATTTGAAAGGAAAGAGATTTAATGGACTCACAGTTCCACATGGCTGAGGAGGCCTCACAATCATGGTGAAAGGCAAAGGAAAACCAAAGGCACATCTTACATGGCAGCAGGCAAGGGAGTGTATTCAGGGGAACTCCCTTTATAAAATCATCAGATCTCATGAGAACTCACTCACTATCACAAGAACAGCAGCATGAGTGTAACTTCCCCCATGATTCAATTACCTCCCACCTGGTCTTTCCTCACAGTGCATGGAAATTATGGGAGCTACAATTCAAGATGAGATTTGGGTGGGGACACAGCCAAACCACATCAGCTTCTAAGTCCTAGGCTAGCTTTTCTTTCTCTCTTTCAAAGTCTTTCCTTTTTGTCCATTATGAAATGTTTTCTGTTTACTCAATAGCAGATACCTAGCGATGTCTAGTTCAACAGATAAAATGCCCCCAAAATATGATGTTGCCTCTAAAAATAGTTGAAATTACATGTACCCTTATATTGTTTTGTTTTTGAAAGCCCCGGAGATCCAGGGTTTTGTGTTCTTGAAGTCATTATACTCTAGTATGAGGCCTTGCCCATAGAAAGCTGTCGGTATTTGTTTCATTGTTCAATGGTATCTATGCCTCTGAAAGTAAGAAATGTGTATGACTCCAAGTTTCTAGCTTAAGTGCTTAGCTAGACTGTTGCCCACAAATTGACACAAGTAGAGCAAGAAAAGAAGCAGGATTTTCTTTTGGGAATGATGGCGGTAATAGGTTTAGTTTTATCATCCAGTTTCAGATTTCTCAGGCTAGACTCTGTAGACACTGTTTGGAGTTATGTTATAAAGAAACTGAGTGGCAGTGCCCACTGTCCTAGAGAAAGAGTTCTGAGGGAAGCCAGTGTACTTGGCAAACTACTTTCTGCTGTGGGGTATCTTTTTGATCTTTTCCTTACCTTTTGCTTTAGAAAGCTTTCACTGTCCAGAGGGGCAGGACACCTTATCTTGAAAAGCCTTATGCATGCTCAGTTTCACACAACTTTTCTCATATTGTATTTTTTATCTCCAATGGGATATCTCAGACAAACCCTAGAAAAATGCATTATGGTCTGAAAGGAAGGAAATTTCAAAGCCATCTCTAGGTAAAGCAAGGTAAGAGAAAGCCAGTGATAGCCTGTCAAGGTTTGTAATACCCCACAGGTGAAGATTTATCCTAAAATTTAAGACTCTTAACTGTAATTTTAGCAGACTAGGTTGTGGTTTGATTTTGTCATTCTTTCTAGATGGCAATAGTTATGTTCGCTTCAAAAAACAAGAGTGTTGATGTCTAGATACCAAATTAATTGTAGCCAAGACGTGGTTGGGATTAGTTGATGTTTGTAGTCTTTGCTGATCTCTAGTCATATTGTGAATAGTTGAAGGAATAACTCCAGTGCCCCACCTCCACTCATTCCCATCAACTTTGAAGAGGAAGCCTACTATGTGGTTATGTTGCTTAACCACTTGTTGGTTTCTCTTTCAGTCTCACTTTTTCTGTTTTAACGGCTGTTTTCTTTTTTATCACAGTGTTTGTTCACATAATATATTCCTGTCATCTGCTCGTGGATTTTTTTTCCTTTATAAGGTTTTTCAAAATGTGTTCCTTATTTACTGAAATGATTATTTTAACATGGAACTTTCAGTGTCATTTCAAAATACTCTGTG